GTGTGTGTGTGTGTGTGTGTGTGTGTGTGTGTGTGTGTCTGTGTGAGTGTGTGTGCATCTGTGTGAGTAGGCAGAGGTCGACTCGTCACCAGCGTTAGGTTCTGTGTGTGGATTAAATTGTATGTGCGTACTTGGTACAGTTTTATAATAAAGACATATGAAAACACACTATATGCGTTCAGAGAACTTGTTATGCCATCTTCTAGCGCGCTGCGAATGGTCGTCTTAACCTTAATCCCCACGAACTTAAAAACAGGAAACCATACTAACAAAATGAAAAGAAAAAAAAAACACTAAAATATGTGAAACAGCAAGGCTGGAATAGTGAACTTATATTCTAAATAATGCCTAGAGTACTCAACATGAACATCAGATAACTGATGGACGCAGGGTTACCGTTAACCACCATAGATCGTGAAAAGTATCATTGATCAAGTTACTTTCAAAAGGTACACGAAAATTCGGCAAGAATTGTAGTTGTGTTATGCGTCATATTACGAGGAAAATGGAGGTCGGGGTGTTCATGTCAACTCGCTATAGTATCATGTTGCCAGGATTTAGCAAATAAAATTTTCTCCGCCGTTTCGAGCATGCAAATATGGCAGACCCCGATCACGATAGCTTACGCTGCGGCACAATGCATTGTCATGTGCAGAAAGGAGGAACATAGAAGGAGTACGAAGATGCCAACAGAGATGGACGATCCACTTAGCAACGGATAAGTTATCGGAGAAGGAGACGACCATGGTGCAATATTTACGAGATCTAGTGCAAGCGGAGAATCGGACGGTTTGGACATCCACGTACAACGGGGCAACAAAAGAAGAACTAACACTAACCGGGCATGATTTGAGCTTGATATTGTATCAAGGCAATTGGTTAAACACCGAAATAGTTAACTTTTATTTGAACGTCGTTAGGCTTGACAACATGTGTCGGATAAGCCATCGCGAGTGTGATAGTGGACAAGACGAAACAGTAGTAGAAGGAAAAGGGCGCATCCCGATAACATCAATTTTTTGTTCCTTCTTCTTCGCGAAATTGTTCGACGACGACATGCAATACCAATACAGCGCAGTGCAGAAGTGGATGAAAGATATGGACGTGGGTGACGTAGACTTAATAATAGCTTCATTCCATATCTGAAATTTCAACCATTGGACACTAGTAATAGCTGACCTAAGGCGCCAAAAAATGGAGTACTACGACTCGCTTACGCCTGGCAAAGAATTGGCAAGGAAAGTGACAGGTGGTTTCATAAGATTCTTGTTCGAAAGATCGGTTGAACAGGGAAAGGTGGTGGATACAAAAGATTTCAACCACATATGGAATGTGCCAGGCATTCCTAGACAGCGCGGCATTAACGAATGCAGTGTCTTTATGCTAACATATGCGTCACTGTTGGCAAGAGGATTTCTCCCGCCATTCAACTTCTCTTTCGACGACATCCACAATATAAGGGGACGAATCGCTTTAGATGTACTTGTCACACCGAAATAGGAGTAACTTGTGCAACAAATGACATTTGATAGACGACATTATGAAAGCAAAACATTTGTTTATTTTTTGCAAATGTAAAGAGATCATTGGCTCTGCTTGATAGACATGCATGAAAATGACCGAATGTATTTAACAAAGCAACAACGCGACATGCTCGATTGAATACCATTCTTGTGTTACTTCATATGACCTCGTACCCCTTACCCCTTACCCCTTACCCCTTACACCTTACCCGTATTACCCCTTACCCCTTACCCCTTTAACCCCTATACCCATAAAACACTGCATAAAATACATACGCAAATCGAAAAAAAATGGACTTTCAATTTCGCACAAAAAATAAAAAATGTACGTTTTGACCAAATCGCAGTTACTCCCCTAGCAACCCTGTGGCGATGGGAATCTGAGTTCCAGTGGATACGATTTTCAGATATCAAACAACTCATCTTCACTCTCCATCCTTGCGACGAGAAGGAGGACATGATCCTCCCACAGGATACAGATTCGGAAGCGCGTTTTATATGAATCTTAAATTTATGTTCATGGTTTTTCTTATGGGACGCTGGACCCTTTGTCCAGCAGGTGCACCTCTCCACCAATAAAAGGGAGTAATATTAAGGATGATTCCTCGGACAGGGATGTTTCACCCGCCTGATTTTTTTAAATAAAAAACGAAACAAAAACAAAATGGTGAGAAGACTCAGAAGAGTGTGTCAGTCTGAGCAGATTGC